GGATAGCTTTACTACAAAGCTTCCATTCATCTAAGTCATTCTGCTTTTCCCAATGTTAGTAATTTCTGGCTTGCTTCCTTTTATGTTGCTCAAGCTCATTTTAGCTTTTATCTCGAGGAGACTTGCACCCAGGTAACAGGAATCAGTAGCATTCCGCAGATGGGCAGGGCAATAGATGAGGTGGTCAGTTCCTCCACTCCACTGAGCCTATGGCTTATTAGGTTAAGGTTGCACTCTCAGCTACTTCCTGACTTCGGGTTCAGGAACTCTTTCATTGGTAATACTAACGTTAAAAACATAAAAGAGCAATTCTGATAAACACAGTAAGTTTCAAATCAAATGTTCTTATTGAATATAAAATAAAAAAAACAGCATCAGTAATATATAAAATCAAAATTAGAATAATAGGAAGTCTTTTTCAAAGTACAAAACAAACGCTATTTGTGTAACTTAGATTTTGCAGTTGATTTCTGATAACTTATAGTCACAACATAGCTTGGTTAGTATTTTGGACCTGAGTGACCTTAGATATTTTGAGACAGGAGAAACCAGGAGAATCAGAATGGTGAATAGTTAAGATCATCATTTGGGGTCAGGGATATAGCTCACTGGTTGAGCACATGCCTCCCTAGCATTAGACCCCTGATTTGGTACAAAAAAATGGTTGTGGAGGGAAAGTTAGTTCAGTGAAGAAAAGAGAGGAGAAAGGAGGAAAGCACAAAGAAAGGGAGAGAAGGTATTTTCTGACTACAGGTGAAAGGCAGGGAATACTTAAATCACTTCTGGGGAAGCTCCAAATATTGGAACATTAAATATTTATTTTGCTCGAGCGGGCCCAGTAACGTCTCCATTGGAGACTTTGTTGTCACTGTGTCTGGCATATCCAATACTCTCGGTAGCTTGCCGGGCTCTCCGAGAGGGGCGGAGGAATCGAACTCGGGTCGGCCATGTTGGCCGCTTGTAAGGCGAACGCCCTACCCGCTGTGCTATCGACTTGTCATATTTTAAACTTTAACTGAACAATCAGGCTGAAATGGCTTAAAAAGGTTATTTATCTTCTACAAATTCAAAGGCAGGCAATTTGCAGCACGACTTAATTGAACACATCATTATCACAGACTTTCAACTTCTTCCCCCCCCCAACACACACACACACACACCAGGCTGTTCTTTAGCTTACACCTGGTTCTGTGTTCAAGGATCACTCCTATCAGGCTCTGTAGACCATATGGAGTGCCCAGGACTGAAGACCTGGGTGGGCTGGGTGCGCTTAAAGCAAATGCGTCACCTGCTGTACTACGGCTCTGGCCCCGTACATCTTTTTATTTTTTTCTGGCGGCGGGGGCACATTCAGAGGTGCTGAAGGCTTCCTCTTGGCTCTGCATTCAGGGATCACTCCTGGCAAGGTTCAGGAAACCATCTGGGGTGCTAGGGATTGAACTGGGGTAAGCTGCACGCAAGCCAAGTCCACTACTCACTGCACTATCCCTTTGAGAAGCTGGAGAGAGATCAGAGTAGGTAGTGCGCTTGCCTTGCTTGTGGCTGGCAAATGCTTTTCTACTGCAATCAATAGTCAATCTGTCTTCCTTCACGATCCAAAATATTCAATGTGTCCATATAACACAATATCCAAAACACAAAAACTTCCCCTAAGTGTGATAAGCCGTCCTCCAGAATTATTCTTCAATCCTCACAATCAAGACTAGGTCAAAAGTCCAACTTCCACTCTAATGAGCAGAAAGAACGAGACTACCATTATGAGTATAAACAGTCATTACTACCTTGTGGAAGCTGAAAGAGTGCGCAGCCTTTGTTAAGGACATAACCTGTAGGGTGGGAATCCAATAAAAAAAAGTTTTTTCCCCAAGAAGACAGGAGAAGTAGTTTTAGGCGAGGACACCAACAGTGGTCACTGAGTTTCTTTAGGAAGTAGAATGAAGAGAATTAATTCTATTTATGCTCATAAAGTCAGAGATTGGATTGGTAAATATCAGTCAGGAAGTGGAACACCTGAACGTAGCTTATATATACATTTTGATTTTTATTTTCAAAATAGAGATACCTGCTTATAAACTTTCATTAAACACTTTGGGTGGGTTTGGGGTGGGTTTCTCTATGACAGTTTCCCATTTGCTTCAAGTAACAAGTAAGACTTAGATGGAAAATACATATATTCAACTAATCTTTTCCCCCCAGTTTATTTAATCACCTTGGTTTACAAAGTTTTTCATGATGATGATGTTATAGGCATTCAACATTCCAAAAGGCCTGAGGAAGATACTGTGGTTAAACAATTTTTAAATAGAGCTTCCATTCATTGCAGGAAGGTAATTAAGCATTCCTTTCTCAAAAAAAAATAAAATTTAATTATAAGGAGTTAGGGAACATTAATGTGGACAGAGAAAAGGCAGCAGATACTTTCACTGCCAGAACTGTTGATCTTTTATTTGGAAAATGAGTACCTATGGAACATGAGTGGGGAAGGCAGCACACATCGATCAGCACACAGCAGAATATCGATATTCTTAATTTAGAAAAAGTCTTGTATTATTCATTAAAATACCATTTGAAATATTCAATTTTTACATTCTGAGTACACCTCCTGAATACAATGGTCTATCTACAAAAAAGCCTTTAAACATAAGTTGTACACCTAAGTTTGGCTCCTCAAGCAATGTATTGTCTAATGCTGCAAAAATGTGTAATTTGAAGCAACTACTTAAAAATGTATGTCATGAGTTAAAACAATATGGTAATATTTTTTCTGAAAAGTGTTTTTTAAAAACTACACAACTTAATCATCTCTAGAACTGTTCAAATATAGTTCATATGTGTGATATATCTCTGTAAAGCAAAACATCAAATCAAATACATGAATAAAAAAATAAACTTTCATACTACAGAACCAATTAGTGGTTACCAGAAGGAAAGGTGGAGGAAGGCATACCAGATAAAAAGAAATCAATGATACGATGGACAAAACTGAACTGATTAGTGGTGGAATTTAATATAGTACATATGTGATGATTTTTAATGATGTACACCTGAAATTTGGGTAATGTAACTATGCATTATCACATCAATAACTTTAAGCTGTAAGTGTAATATGACAAAATATTTAAACATCACATGCTCAATTATATGTACTTTCTGTTAAAAAAATAATAAGATGAAGTCTTTATTCTCTTAACTCCAAAATTCTTTAGATTAGCCATAACCTTATTCAGGCGGTGTGAAAATACTTCACAATTATTTTCCTTATTTGCCACAGTTATAGCAACATGTGTTCTTCACATAGCTCTAAACTTCAATTCCAACCTAAAAAGACAAACTTAATAGCACTGAGAGTAAAGGTTTATAAGCAATTAATCCCAAAGGTACTTTGGCAAAAGTACTAGTGCAGGTTGTGGCCTTTTTTTTTTTTTTTTTGCTGGGGGTGGAGGGTGGAAGTTGGGGGGAAAAGGAAGGTGCTCAGGGATTACTCCTGACTGCACTCAGGAATTTCTCCTAGCCACTGCGGTATTTGGGATGCCTGGGATGGAAGTCAGGTCTACCAAGTACCAAGGCAACCGTCCTCTCCGCGGCACCTGGGGACATCTTCTAAAGAGACAACTTTTAAGTTTGTTATAAGGGAGTCACTTTATTAGATTTTAAAGTACAGAAAACGGCAAAGCCTGGCAAGCTCCCCGTGATGTATTTGATATGCCAAACACAGTAACAACAAAGTCACGATGGAGACGTTACTGGGCCTGCTGGAGCAAATCGATGAACAACGGGAGGACCGTGAACACAATTTAGAAAGACTTATAAGAAGTTGGAGAACTTAGCTTTCCAAAAGGAAAGCCATCATTAAAGTAACACACCGGCATTCCTAAATATCCCAGTATTTTCATCATCTTCGGAGGCTCCAAACAAGACAAACAGAGATAAAGAACCAACAAGCAGAAAAAATTAAGTCATTAACAGGGTCATGTTAGTCAAAATGACTTCGCACTGAATTTTTAAAACATATTGCATTCAACGCTATCCTACAATAGTTTTCGTGGGGGGGGGGGTGGGAATTAATAATTTACTAGGTAAAATGGTCCGCAACAGTCATAAGAATATATCAATTATTATCTCAGGACGAATTTTTTTTTAAAAATTTTATTAGTGAAACACCATGAGGTACAGTTGTAGAGTCACAAATTTTTGTGCTTGGATTTCGGTCATACCAGGATCAAACACCCATCCCTCCACCAGTGCCCATTTTCCACCACCAAGGATAATATCCCCCCCTGCCACGGTGGCAGGGCATTTCCTTTTGTCGAATTTTTAAACTTACTAAGTGGGTTTTTATTACTTGGGGGGGGGGGGGGAGGAGGAGGGCTCCCAGATGACCTGACCACGCACACCAAAAAAAAAAAAAAACAAAACGACGAACGCAGACACCTGCTATAAAGCGTTGCAAGAAGGAATCAAAGCGTATCAAGAATCTGCTCTGAAGGAATTGCGGAGTGGGAGAGCAAGTGCAAGATCGGGCTCGTCAGAGCGAGGCGTGCGCAAAGCAAGAGGCACCGGGCGGCCAGATGGGAGAGGAGGATCCGGGCAGCGCTAAGCCCGGCCGAGTCCCGGGAGCGAGGCGTAATTAAGAGGATTGGACTCGTCACTGCCGGGAGACGCGCGGAGCAAAACTTCGCTTCCCGGCCCTGCGATGTCGCAACGGCGCTTTCCAAACCAGGTTCCACTTTCTGAAACCCGGCGATCGCGCTGCACCCGCTTCCCGGGCCCGTCCGGTCCCCGGTCCGGCCAATGAATCAAGCACAGGGCCGGGGCCGGCGGCGCGGGAGCGGGCGCGGGCGCGGGGGCAAGGCCGGGTCCGAGGTCCGGCGCGAGGCGGCGCCCGGGCCGGAGCGGGCCGGGGCCGGAGGGAAGCCCGCAGCGCGGCCCGCGGGGCCGGAAGGGCCGGCGGGTGGGCCCGGGAGCCGCGTCCCCAGCCCGCCCGGCCGGCCGAGGGTCACCTGGAGTGCGAGTTCCGCAGGGACTCGATCAGCCGCTGCTTCTGCTGCTGGAGGCTGGTGAGGCCGCCGGGGGCGCCGGCCGCGGACGACGAGGCGCTCTTGCTCAGCGGGAAGAGCCAGCTCATCCTCCTCGGGGCCCGGGGCCGCGCCGGGCTCCGGCCGGCCGCTCCCGGGCTGCTCGTCGGGGGCGCCCGGGGGGCGGGGGGCGCCGAGAGCCGCGCCTGGCTCACGGCCCAGCCGGCGGCGCGCGGGGCTGCTGCGAGCAGTGGCCGCCGGGCCGGCCTCCCGCAGCGCGCGCCCCGCCCCCGCCGGCGCCGCGTCATCAGCGCGCGCCCCGCCCCCGCCGGCGCCGCGCCGCGTCATCAGCGAGCGCCCCCGTCAGGCCGTGCGAGAGGCGACGGCAGAGCGCGGCGCGGCGCGGCTCCGGCTCCCCTTTCTCCCCGGCCCGGGCGAGGAGAGGTGTCTATGGGGCACCCGCCGCCGCCGCCGCCGCCGCCGCCGCCGCCGGGTGCGAGCTCTATGGCGAGGAGGAGGAGGAGGAGCGCCAGCGCAGAGACCCAAGTAATCCGGCGCCCGCCGCGGGGCTCCGAGGGCCGGCGAAGGGGCGGGGACGGCGGCCCGCGGCGGGCGCGCCATGGCGCCCGGCGGCTGGGGCGGCGGGGCGGGAGGCGGGAGGGTATCTGGGGCTGGGGGTTCGTCCCGGGCGGCGCGGGGTGATGACGTGGGGCTTTGTACCTGGGGCTTCGCCGCGGGACGGAACTCGGGAGCGGAGGGCGGCGGCCCAGGTCCGCGGCTCCGCGGCTTCCTTCGCGCAGCGGGGCCGGGCGGGCGCGTCCGGCTCCGGGGGCTGGTGCTCGGCCCCTCGCGCCGGCGCGGGGCCCGCGGAGACGCTGCCCCATGACTCGGGTCTTCTCGGCTCCCCGGGAGCCCGCCGTGCCGAGATGCCGCTCCCGCCCGGAGAAGGCCGCTGATGCTGGCCCTGCCGTAGCGACGGAGGTGGAGCGAGGCGGTGTGGGGCTGCCGGGGACTGGTGCAGCGCGCGCGCGCGCGGGGTGGGAGTGCGCCGGGTCGCGGGGTGGGTGGCGGGGGGTCTCGGCGGAGGGGTCCCCGGGTTCCCCTTCGGCTGCTGCTCGGAGAGCACCGGAGGTTACATTTGTAACACTGCGGCCGTGGTGATTGGGAGGCGCGCGGGGGAGGGGGAGGGGGTCCCGGATACCTCCTTTTCTTTTCACCAAGGCGCTTTATTAAAAAAAACAAAACAAAACAAAAAAACCCAAAGACTTGTACGAAGAAACGGCAGGCGCGGAACACGTGGGATTTCCGTGTCCGAGAATCGAAATAATTGGTCTGTCTTTTGTCACCATCATGTGCCGTGGAACGTGTGTCTGTCTTTGGCCCAGAAATAAATGTGAGATGTGCTTGGTAGGAAGAAAATGCTATGATTTATAGAAAACTAGAAGTGATTTAGGTTTTGCTATTATGGATCAGATTCTACTCCCCCCCCTCCCCCCCGCCCCGCATCAGGGGGCCTGGAGGGGAACTCAGGTCTCATGCCTGCAAGTCATGGACTTTACCGTTAAGCCACATCCTCGACCTTGCACTCCTGTAGATTCCAGTAATTTCTGCGGCTGTGTGCTACTTTTGTCTCAGGTGGCTTTTCTTTAAAATTGCTGGTTTGTTTTGGTCCCATTCAGTGTAGATCTTGTATTGAAATCGTATTTTGAATGTTAGGATAATGAGTAATAGATAGAGGCAGACACAACCTTTGCCCTAGTACACATCTGATATTTTCATACTTTTTTTGCTTTCATCTCTGATTGTATTTCTTAGTATCAGTGAGTTGAACTTAGAACGATCTATAATTTACTGGGAGTATTTTCAGATGCTTTGTGTGGGGGGCCCGGGAGACTTGGGAGATGGTAGAGCATGTGTTTAGCTTGTCGGAGACCCAGAGTTGAACCCCTAGCACCTCATGTCTCCTTGCCCCAACAACTGCCGGTGTTTTAGATATATATGAAAAGCATGAGTTTTACTTGATACTAGAACTAGAAAACCTCCGTCCTCCCTACTAACTAGCTGTGTGTCACCTTAAAGTTACTTATAAAACTTTGGGTTTTCTTATAATCAAGGACTTTGAAAAAAAACTCTTGAAAGAAAGAAAAAACTTTTAAGTTTTTTAATCAACTCATTTACTTTATGATTGAGATTTCTGATGTGGCTGATTTTTATTTTGACAGGTACACGAATAAAGGATAACGTATTTTGTGAAACAAATCTTCGATCACGTTAAACATTTTGATGCTTGGCATCTAGACTCTCTTGTGTCCTCACTATGCCAGCAGCAACTGTAGATCATAGCCAAAGAATTTGTGAAGTATGGGCTTGCAACCTGGATGAAGAGATGAAGAAAATTCGTCAGGTTATTCGAAAATACAATTACGTTGCAATGGTATGTTTCACTGAATCTTTGAACTGATGTTTTTTGGGTTTAGGTTTTTTTTTTATTTTGGAAGGGTTTGTAGTCTTGAATTCAACCTTCTAGTTAATATTTTAAAAGGTGTTTTCAAAAGAAAGGGAGGCCTTGGGGCCGGAGCGCTAGCATGGCAGGTAGGCCAATGCATTGCATGCGGCCAACCCACGTTCAATCCTCGGCGTCCTATATGGTCCCCCAAGCACCGCCAGGAGAAACTCCTGAGAGCAGAGCCAGGAGTAACCCCTGAGCATTACTATTACTGGTTGTGACCCAAAAAGCAAAGAAAACAGAAAGGGAGACATTGCCAATATATTCTAGCAAAAAAGCCATTACAAATTCATCTGTAACTTTACAAATTGGGTTTATTGTTCATTGTACTGACAGAGCCATGGAGCTTTTGAGTAAGAGAGTATTAATGAGTTGCAGGGGTAGCTTAGAGGGCTGGAGCGTATTCCTGGCATGCATCAGACCCCAGTTTTGATCCCTGGCACCCAAGGTCAGATGGCCTCCCAAGTACCACTGGGTATTGCTATGGTGGTCCCAGCACCACTGGGAAGCCCTCTATCATTCATCCAAAAAGATACTGAAGAGCACGTGAAAGATTTGTGATCTTAGGAAGGAATTAAAGAAGCAATATTTTGTTATGAGTAAGATAGGGTCGGGAAGATAATGTGGTTGGTGATACTTGTCTGGAGGGACTACTCCCAGCTCTGCTCTGGGTTATCTGTGATTTTAATGTAGGGGGCAGTCATTGAATGGTTCTAAATGGTAATTCTGTTTCTAGTTAGGAGAAATGCGTGATTGAATATGAATGTTGAGCATCTCATTGCAATAGAATTCTTCGATTTTTGTCAGTGTTTATTTGGGGTATCTGTGGATTGTGGTTGTGACCACTTAGTAATTACTGGGTCATAAAACTTGTTTTACAGGACACCGAGTTTCCAGGTGTGGTTGCAAGACCCATTGGAGAATTCAGAAGCAATGCTGACTATCAATACCAACTATTGCGATGTAATGTAGACTTGTTAAAGATAATTCAGCTAGGACTGACTTTTATGAATGAGCAAGGAGAATACCCACCAGGAACTTCAACTTGGCAGTTTAATTTTAAATTTAATTTGACGTAAGTAGGAAATAAATATAACCCAGACTTTTAAATAATCTGTTTAATTTTAGGATTTCATCTTGAATTGTATGAAATTCTAACTGAATTTGTTATCCTCTTGTAAATACATAAAATCAAAAAATGTTGTTTTATAAAATCATACTTTTCAGTTAGCATCTTAAATTTCAGGTTTTTAAATTTTAAGTCTTTTCCAAATGTTTTATTCCACAATGAAAAGAGAAATGTAACCTTTTGAAATAGGTTGTAAATCTATATAAAATGTCTAATACGTTATAATTATATTATCATATTGCGTTGTCCTATTTAGTAGGGTTTACTTGTGTAATCTTGGGCTAGAGCGATAGCACAGCGGTAGGGCGTTTGCCTTGCACGCAGCCAGCCCGGCCAAGCCGGGTTCGATTCCTCCACCCCTCTCAGAGAGCCCAGCAAGCTACCGAGAGTATCTCACCCGCATGGCAAAGCCTGGCAAGCTACCCGTGTTGTATTCAGTATGCCAAACACAGTAACAACAAGTCTCAAAATGGAGACGTTACTGGGCCCGCTCGAGCAAATCGATGAGCAACCGGAGGACAGTGCTACTTGTGTAATACAGTTTAACGTGAGATTTAAAGGCGTTTTAATGCACTGTTTATTTAAACTCTTTTAATGTACTCTTTAAAATATGATAATGGATTAAAATGTACATTACTATTCAAACTGATACTAACCTTCGTACATCTCAGAAACTCTGAAAACTGCCTTTACACTTTTCCCAAAGATAACATTTTGTGAAATGAATACTACCTCATTTGTTTCGTGTTAATTTTTCTTAGACCAATCATCAAAACATTTTGTATTACTGAGATACTGTTGTGATCTTGGTACGTGAGTAGGGGATGTCCCATCAGTATCTCTCTTTTGTTATGATCAGCAGTTTGCTTTTCTAGAAGCATCTTTGTTTTTGTAACAACTGCTTTGGTAGAATGACAGAGACCTTTTTTCTTATTCAGAGAAGGCCACTGTAATTTTGCAACCAGGCTTTGCTACATTTAATACTAGTACTTGTTTACGGAGAAGAATAATGAAAAGATTAAGTAGGAAAGGTTAGTTGAAAGGTAAAAAGGTGTTCTGACTGATGCTGAGGCATAACAGAATGCTAGATATTTTTAAGAAATACAGAAATTGACTTTGCTCTAAGTGACTACATTGAGTGTGTCAGCCACAGCTGCGCTTCATGCCAGGGAGATGTTGAGGAAAGGTTTTGGCATTATAACTTGGTGTTTCTCCATAGCTGTTCCCAGTGCTCTCTAGTGCCATAGTCCAAGAATTTGCATTATTGCAGACTAATGACTATTAAGAGATTCTTTCCAAATTGAATTTAGAATTAATTTGTACAGAAAAATTTTTGAAGTCATCAGTTGTGTTTATCACAGTAATGATTGATACTTCACAGAGTTATTTTGGTGGGAGGTGGAGGTGTGAGTGTCCCTCCTGCAGTGTTGGGCTGATTGGTGCGCAGTTCAGTGTGGTGACCTGAGGTTAGGATGCTCTGAGGATCCTGTGGTGCTGGGATTATCCACTCCACCCAGACAGCTGCTGGCTGGTCTTCAGGACTGCATTTGCAGTGCCTGAGGAACCATGTGTGTGCCCCAACCCCTGTAGTATCTTCCCAGCCCCCACACAGAATCCGTTTAATCAGACTAGGATTACAGGGGACCATGGATTCTGGTTTACAGAAAGGAAGCTGATAACTTTCTTCAAGGAAAATCTCAGTGGAAAGGAACTTGAGAGAATACCGTAAGAAAAAGGCAAACAAAATCAAATGGTGGTTTATATTGTTTTATAGATACTACACAGGCATTTGATGTTAATGGATATTTGTCAGTTACGGAAGTTGCAGACTGTTCGGGATTAGAGTATGTGACTAGACAAGACTTTAGAGAAGTAGCTGAAATACAGTCTTAAGGCATTGGTAATAATAATGATAAGGAGACCTTATCTTTGAATCTAAAAATGATTTTAAGGAACAGAATAATAGTCCAGCAAGTAGTGAGCTTGCCTTGCATGCGACCAACCAGGGTTTGATCCCTGGCACCCGATAAGGTTCCCTAGCCCATCAAGAAGTGATCGGTGAGCATAGAGCCAAAAGTAAGCCCTGAGCACTATCAGCTGCGGCCCAAACATCCAAAAATAAATAAATTTAAAATTTTAAAAGTAAAAAGCTCTTAAGATGGGTAGATGTAAAATAGTTGAAGACTTGCTTGATCTTTGTCAAATATTTCTTTATGGAGGCTATTAAAGTTGTACCAGCAAAGGTTTTTGAAACTTACAAGAGATCTGAACTATTAATATCCAGTGCTCAGGGGTCAGATATGTGTGGAAAATAATGTTCCCATTAGAGCCGATTGCAATAGAATATCTGAATATTTAATAAGTAGATGATTGCTATTCTGATTCCCCCCTCCCACCAGCTGTACCTAAAAGTGAGAGCAATACTTGCAGGAAAAGGCTATTAGAACTGAATAGTACTTTCACCGTTAATAAGTTAAGGGAGAGATAATTCCAGAATTTTTTTTTTAGTGTAAAAAAAAGAAAATCTAAGGTGAGAAAACGATAAAGGGTAGGAAGAGACTAGAAAGAAAGTATGATGAATAGGGCCAGATGGTACAGAGGTTAAGGCGCTTGCCTTGCTGCAGCCAACCTTGGTCTGATTTCCAGTAGCACTTTCCCTGAGCACCGCCGGGAATAAGGAATTCGCAGTGTTAGATGAAAAGGTAGGAGAAATCTTCGATTTGTCAGAATGCTCGCTCATTTGTTGTGTTGACAGTTCTAAAAGTGATCGGATCAGTCCTGACTTTGCAGGATGAGGTAATGATTGCGAGTTACTTTGTTGGCTATCGAGTGGAAGCAGTTGTATTAAAGATCCCATCCAGAGAGAGAAAAGAAGTAGTTTTAAGTTTTAAAATTATGGAGGAAGTTGAAGCTTGAAGAACGATTTATATGGTTTGAAATTTCAGTTTGTGGGAAAACAAAGGGAGATTTGTGTTGTTAGAGAATTTAGACTTTTTAAGTCCTAATTTTGGATATTTGGTTCCCTTACATCTAATTGTTGTAGGAAGTGCTCATTCTATTTGGAGGACTTAGAAAACAAGTTGAAAGTGATTCGATGCTTAAATAGAAGAGAAACTGGGTGAATGAATACCAGTGATGAGTACATACCTTTGCATATGGAGTAAGACACATATTAAAATTCTTGTAAATGGGAAATAACGGTATTTCATCTGGTATGTATAGTCTAGGTATATATAACGTGATTTGCAGAAGTTTAAAACATTGTACTTTGGACCAGAGAGGTAGTATTGCCTGTCATGAAGTTGTGTTGCCATGACCCTGGTTCAAGTCCCTGGTACCATATATTGTGCCTGAGCATCACCAGAAGTCATTCCTTAGTATTGAACTAGGAATAGATCCCGAGCCCTGCTGGGTGTGGCTCAAAAACCTCTCTCTACCCCCCAAATCATAATTTCTTTCTAAATAAATCTTAATGTATCTAAGCCATTCACTATGGTTGGGCCTGTAAATTGTCTGCTTTTTAATTTCTGAGCCATACCTGGAAGTTCTGTTCAGTGCTAGGTTAGGGTGGGGAGGTGCTTCTTCATGTGCAGTTCCAGGGATTAAACCTGGGCCTCCCAGCATGCTGAGCATGTCACCACCCATTGGGCTCTTTTCCCAGCCCAGCTTTCCACATTTTTGGAGGGGTGGTGGTGAGGGGGCCAAACCCACAATTGCTCAGGGCTAATCCAAGCTCTGTGTGTAGGGATCACTCCTGACAGGCTCAGGTGACCGTATAGGGTGCCATATTCAAGCCATGTGCTCTGCTCACTGTGCTATCGGGTCTCAGCCCAGCTGTCCACTTTTAAAACTTTAACCTTTGTCTTTAAATAGAAGGCCATTTTTAAGATACATCTCCACCATTTATTTTGTTAGTAGGTATCCAAAAATGCGAGTATTTTAAGCTTTATACAAAAGATGTGGTTATCTGTTTGCATATACACTTGTTGGGAGTAAAGAGGAAGATGAGATTGAGTTTGTTTTCTGCAAAAGTGTTATTTTAAGGGTGATGAAATTACTTTTTAAAACCTATCTAAATATTAAGTCATAAGGTTTTAAGGTTTGCTACTCTCACTCCAATAAAATAAAGGTACATCTGTATTGTGAAAATATTAAAAAAGTTAAGTATTACTAAAAATAATAATACTTTGCTACTTTGACTTGCGATAATGTTTTGTTTTTTTGGTAACTAGTGGAGGTACTAATTTTTATCAAATTCAAAATTATTTTTGTTTTTTTATGTCTTCTCATTAACTGTGCAGCTTTTAGATAAACTTATTTTCTTACTGATCTAAGTTTGTTAAATATTAGGTATTACAATTTGTATTCTACTTTGCACTTTTTCTTACTCAGGATTATTTATATAAAATTAAAGAGGTTTACATTTTTAAAACATAAAATGTGAGGCAGAACTGCCTTGAGGTTGATGCATTTCCAAATTTTAAAACTAATAACAAGTTTAAAAATACAAATTTGTGTCATTGGTTTTGTTTATATTTGCTGACAGAAAAGTTTCAGTGGGAGGTTGGAGAGATAGTACAGCACGTCCTGTTTGCCTTGCATTCGGCCGATTCAAATTCAAAACCCCGGCACCCCTGATGGCGTATGATCTCTAAGCAGTACCAGGAGGAATTCTTGAGTGCAGAGCCAGGAGTAAGCCCCGAGCACCTGGTGTAGCCCAAAAACAAAAGAAAAAGAAAATTACAGTGCATTTACTGAATTTAACATATCTAATTAAAAGTTTTCATTTTTAAAATATAACTTGAAATTGTAATGTTGTCTCTTTGTTCTTTTAGACCGTTTTTACATAGCTTTCACGCCTTTTTTTTTCATTTGACAGTGTTAACCTAAATTTTATACTGGTTGATCTTTAATATTAGGAATGATCACATTATTGTGGGGCTGGAGTGATAGCACAGTGGTAGAGCATTTGCTTTGTGCGCAGCTGGCCGGGCCAAGCCAGGTTCGATTCCTCCGCCCCTCTCGGAGAGCCTGGCAAGCTACTGAGAGTATCTCCCCCACACGGCAGAGCCTGGCAAGCTACCCGTGACGTATTCAGTATGCTAAACACAGTAACAACAAGTTTCATGATGGAGACGTTACTGGGCCCGCTCGAGCAAACTGATGAACAACTGGAGGACAGTGACAGCGACACATTATTGTTCATTATCATTCTGAGTTGATTGAGCTAAGCAGGAAGCCAGCTCGGCAACTGCCTGTTCTTAGATTTTTAGCTAAACTATTTTAATTACTTTTGTGAGATTAGCATTTTTTTTTTGTTTTCCTACATTTGATAGAATTTTTGAGGTTGGAGAAAGGTTTCAAAACTTGCAATGGAGACTCATGGGAAAGGCAGTTAATTGATTTGGAGAATCAAAACTTGTTTTCACAGTTTGAAAGTGCTTTTGTCAGCAAGTTTCTTTATCCTATTTGGAGATTTACATAGCTAAGGTATGGAATTGGTTCCAGTTATTTTACAAAATAACTTTTTCAATGAAATTTAGTGGACAGTACATGAACTCATCTGAACTATATGTCAAATTATGTAGAAAAAAGCAAAATAACTTTATTTTTGTTTACCAAACTTGAACTTGATTATGAAATACTTTTGTTACTCATCCTGATCTCTCCTGGGGATTGCAGTTTAATAGGCCTACAGATGGGACTTGGGGATTTATATTTTTTGAAAGCTCTGTGGGTAGTTTGGTAAAGACTGACTTAAACATTACATCACTCACTATTACACCCCATTTCATCTGTGCTAACATACTAACATAAGTCATTGACTTCCTGAAGCATAGGTTCTAATCAAAATGATAAACAGTAAACTTAACAGAGACCAGATAACGTGAGACTGGAAAAATAATTTCTTGTATCTTTGGCTATAATTGGTTAAGGCCATCTCTCAATGTGAGCATCAGGACTTAATACGATTCTAATTGCTTAAGGTACATAAATTGCATGATAAGGCCAAAAGTACCTTTTGAATGAAAAAAAAAATTATTTAAATACCTTCCTCAGGCTTTTCCAGGATGAATTTTGATAGTGATTATTGTTGTTGAATTGTTTGTTTGAGGGTCGCACCCAGTGGTGCTCAGTGCTTATTCATGGCTCTATACTGAGGGATCACTTATGGTTTGACTCGGGATGCCAGGGATCAAACCTGGGTTGCCCATGTGTAAGGCTTATGCCCTGCCCACTGCACTGTCTGCCCAACCTCCCTTTCTATAATCACCGGATTTTATTATTTTTGAAGATATTTAGAAACAAATTAGTTTTTAGACAATAGACCTTAAGAATGCTTGTGGATCCAAATGAAATGTTCCTCTGATTTCACTATTTTGGTTAAAGATTTTAATAGGATTGTCTTTGTACTCTTTTATTTTCAGAAACATTTCTTGTAATCACTTTTTTAATTGAATATTTTGGAGAGCATATGCTTGTGCTGAAAAATTAGAAGTGGCTATCTTCTTGGCTTAAATAAAATCTTCAAGTATTGGTTTATTAGTTAGCTTTCCTTTCTTGATTTTTATATGGCAGTCTTACTAGATTAAGATTCTTAGAAGTAGACACTTGATTTTAGATACTTGACTGCTGATTGGAGTCATCTAAAAGCCTCTATTAGTGAAAAGATGGCTGCCCTCTTTTGGATGGAACATAGTTTACTGTGCTGTATCACACCTTTTTTTTTTTTTTTTTTTTTGGTATCTCACCTTTTCTATGTGATTCTTCCTTGAGAGTTGAGCTAAACAGACTCTTCCAATACCTCTGTGATTACTGCTGGGTTTGGCAGCATTCAAATGACACTGAGAGCCCCTGATAAGAACATTGTTTCTTTGTCCTAGAACCACTGGAGTAATGTTGCCCCCTCTTCATATCCTCATAAATTTGACTTGTAAAGGGTTGATGAAATTGAGTTAGTGGTAAAGATTAAATGTCACCATTGGACTTTGTGAATTATTTTCTGCATGATTTCATGCGTAAGTAGTATTTTTCTTGCCACCTACATGAGACATCGGAACAGTTTAAGCTAAGCCAGTCTTCTAATCTTGTTGCTGGCACTGGAGTTACAGATGTAAGTGGGAGAAACAAGTTTGTTTGAGATGTGACGCTGTTGATTGTTGTCTTTTTTTCTTGCCAGGGAGGACATGTATGCCCAGGACTCTATAGAGCTACTGACAACATCTGGTATCCAGTTTAAGAAACATGAAGAGGAAGGAATTGAAACACAGTATTTTGCAGAACTTCTTATGACTTCTGGAGTGGTCCTCTGTGAAGGGGTCAAGTGGTTATCATTTCATAGGTAAAAGGATGAAATTGAAAATGACACAGTGCTCCTTCACACTTGGCTTCAGTTGCTGTTTTAGCAATATCAGGCTTAGTTCTGCAAAGAATTGGATAACATATTGCATTTCTCCTAGCTCTCAAGAGACTCTTGGTGGTTAATTTAAAAATAAGGGAATTTTGTTAGCTTATGTGAAAGACAGGATTGTGTACTCTACCAACTGAGAAATAGACTTTGGTTTAAGTGCATGAGATTTATTATTACGGGTACTACTCTTTGAAAGGGAGTAATATGGTGCTGAGACTCAGAGTAGGACACAAGCCAAGCTGGTGCTCTACCACATGAGTCACATGACCAGGTTCTAAATTAATAAAAGTTTTTGAGTTTCTTCATGCTTTAGGATTTCCAACTCTGGCCTGTGACATGATTATAGTGAAGGACTGTGTATTGCAACTATTGATTCAGTACTGAGCAGTACTTGACATAGGAAATGCTATTTAATACAAGTTTACTGCCTACCTAATTTGAGTATAGTACATATCTACCTAATAGGAGTAAGGATTTGCAAATTTCAGTTTTCAGTAGAAATAGATTTAAACATAAAACATTTTATGGCAGTAAAAAAGCATGTAACTTGACAAATATCTGAATAAGCCAGTCCAGTATAGAATCTAGTCTAGACTCAGTGCTGCTTCACACTTGGCTTGGGTTTGATTTGCTGTTTGGTTTGAACCACACCCTGCTATGCTTAGTAAGGCTTGCTTTTTACTCTGCCCCGGACTACTCATGAACCATAACAGGACCATGTGGGGTACCAGGGATCAAACTTGGTCAAGTATATGCAAGACACAAGCTCCTTACCTGCTGTGTGCTCTCTCTAGTCCCTAGATTTTATCAATTTAAATATCTTTTGAAACTTTTTTGAGAAATGTTTTCTTGTAAAAGAAGTAGTAGCATCTTGTCCTTGTTTTATACTTACTGTATTCTTTCATTTAAGAAATATCCAGTAAATACTGTTTTCTTTGCACTGGGTTATTAAATGAATGAAACTAATGATTCATGGCTTAGATTTTAGACTGTATTTGACTGTTTTTTTTGGATGTTTGTCAAATTACATATTTTTTACTGTCATAAAATGTTTTCTTGATGTTTAAATCTATTTCTAGTGAAGACTGAAGTTTGCAAATCCTTATTCCTATTAGGTAGATATGTACTATATATACTCTGCGTATATATATTATTATTAATAGTATAATCTACTATTAGGTAGATATGTACTATATATACTCAGCGTATATATACTATATATACGCTGGAGCGATAGCACAGCGGGTAGGGCGTTCGCCTTACAAGCGGCCAACATGGCCGACCCGAGTTCGATTCCTCCGCCCCTCTCGGAGAGCCCGGCAAGCTACCGAGAGTATTCGATATGCCAGACACAGTAACAACAAAGTCTCCAATGGAGACGTTACTGGGCCCGCTCGAGCAAATCGACGATCAACGGGAGGGCCTTTACTTTACTTTACTTTTACTATACTCAGCTAGCAAAATTGGCCAGCTACCACCAATTTAAAGGTCACTTTCTGTTTATTGTTTCTACTTTGAATTTCTTTAATGCGCTCCAATGGCAAAGTTTTTTTTTCTTTTCCTTTTTTTAAAACTAGAAGTAAAATTTTGAACCTTAAAATTTTTATTGGTATCTTTCCTAGAAAGATATATAATAACATGCCAATGAATGTATGTTTAGTTCCACTGTGTTCAATAAAGAAATTTTAAAGGTTTTTGCTTTTCGTATGTATTTGGGCCACTCCAAGCTGCACTCAAGGGCTACTCTAGAGTCACTGCTTAGTCCCGCTCAGTGGTGTTCCGAGCTTCACGTGGTACTGGGAATTGAACCTGGGCCTGCAAAGTATGCTCTCAGCCCACTGAGCTGTAAAGATATTTTAAAAATGATATTCTTGCCCTTTCACCTACATGAATAATATATATGCTTTTTCTTTTCCTTTTTTTTTTTTTCTTTTTTTTTGGTGTTGGGGGAGATGTGTTTGGGCCCCTACCTGGCATTGCTCAGGGCTCTGCTTAGGAATCACCCCTGTGCTTGGGTTTCCATATGTGGTATATATGTTTGAATCTGGGTTGACTGCATGCAGACCAAGTGCATCTCTGGTCCCCGAAACAATACATACACTTTAAACAGAGTACAAGAAATCTCAGGGAACTGGTCTTTTATGGGGGAGTCGTTTTGTGAGAAATCTTGGAGTTGACAGGTAAAAGAAGGTATGTAATTGTAGCACCGGAGTGTAGTACAGAGAGCTGAGGAGCGAGTCAGAGGAAATAGACGTGTTGATTTGAGGGAGTAGGAGTTGTTTCAGCCTTGTTTCCAAAGTGGGCAGTATTGTCCTGTTTCGCCCCCACCCTGGGGATGCTGGAACAGTTCAGAGGACAGTAGTAGGTCTTGGTGCAATTGCAGGCATTTTCTGTTGGTTGCTTAAAGACCATAGATGAGGACACTGAGTGATTTACTGAAAAGGGCTGGTTAGACCAAGACTGGGAACTTACGCTCTAGCAAGTAGTTCCCAGCTCCTACCGCCTTTTCTTTTTTCACTTGTTTTCTGGGGCTTTCTCTTGGCTCTACACTCAGATCACTCCTGATGGTGGTTGGGAGACCATTTGGGATGCCAGGAATCAAACCTGAGTCGCCACATGGAAGGCAAGCACCTACCTGCTGGATGCTCCAGCCTCTACCTTCATTTTTTTTGTGTTGTTCTTGTTACCTGTTGGCTGTGGGGAAGTCATAATGGAACAGGAAAACCATATTCAAGTGTGAACCACTGGTGGAATGCACTGGTACCAAAGTGTGAAGGGAAATAAAAATAATTTCTAAAGAAATTGCTCTTTGGATTTTGAGCTGGATGAGTCCTTTACATAAAAGATGAGGAAGATCTGCATTATTTTTGCATATTTTTGCTAGCATTCTTCTGACAGTTCTGGTTAAGGTTACATCTATTTCCATTTTCATAAATACTTCTATTTTCATATATCTGTGAGTAGTTTGCCACAGGGATTCTCTATTCAAAAATCAGTTTACTGACTACAGACTTAATAATACAGATCTTTATATTGAGATCTCTGGATGATCAAGTGACTGGTTCTTAACACCCTGTAAAAGATACTATTTTCCATTATCATCATAAAGAAAATGTTCTGTTCTCATGACTTTGGTGGGCTCAAGGAGGTGAAACATTAATTTTTTGCTTATAGTGTATCTCAATTGCTGTATCAAAATATTTTTGTATCTATAGTATTTATGTATCTCTTTTTTAACACTTTTATAGTGGTTATGACTTTGGCTATTTAATCAAAATCCTGACCAACTCTAACTTGCCTGAAGAAGAACTTGACTTCTTTGAGATCCTTCGATTGTTTTTTCCTGTCATTTACGATGTGAAGTACCTCATGAAGAGCTGCAAAAATCTAAAAGTAAGATCTCAAGTGACTTTTGTAATCAGTCCGCTGCTCAGACAAATGACTGACATAAGATTCTAGCTTGGGGTACTGATTTAAGTGCTATTTCATTAGTTCTATACTAAATATAGGTATATTATTGGGTCACTTGATTTTTTTTCATTCATAAATATTTATAGAAAATTGTCTTTTGAAACTTCTGTGTATGCTGGCAGAGTCAGTTTTCAGCAAAATTCAAACCAAGTTTCAGGGCTCTGTCATTGCTTACCAGATTGAAAACCGTAAACCAGCAGAGAAACGTGCACACTGGGAAGTTGTCTCTTGCAACATACACATACTCTGCATGCATGATAAAATTTGAGGAGGTATCAATAATGTGCAGATTTACTTGGCAAACTTAGTTTCCCCTTCAGCTTCTCTTGAAAAGCGATTAGTTTATTTGGGTCTAGTCATTGAATCATTAATTATAGCTGAACGGTAAATCTCTTGTCATTAGCACACTTTCCCCCGAATTCCAATTATTAATAGTAAATGTGTAAATTCTGCCTAGGCAATAACTTTTATTCTGATGCTGTTTCATTTGTTTGTAATAATTTGTTATTTCTAAACATTAATTCTTTGAAAGCTTTTTTAAATTATTTGGGGTCACAACCTGCAGTGCTCAGGGATTGTTCATGGCCCTTATGTGTAACCCCTGGCAATGCTGAGGATCTAACCAGCATCAGCTGCACACAAGGCAAGCTCCTTACTATGTGTATTATCTCTACAACCTCATGAAAAGTAAATTTTTTATAAGGAAAGTTGCTCCTTCATTTTTAGAATAAATTAAATGATGATGCAGTGCAGACTCATAAGTTAGTAGGATTCTTATGCATTTGATTTGTTACAATAGCTTTGTTTCGTATAAATTACAGCAGTAGCTTGGAAATTCTCAAGTGTCTAATTTTATAATAAATGGACTCATTTTGAATATAGTTGATGAATGTTACCCTTTAAACTTGGTACCTTGTGTATGATTTGCTTCATCATATCTTTAATAAATTGTTTCACTTGTCATGTGCATTAAAATGTTTGATAGAGACATATTTTCCCAGTTAGGTGCTCATTTTTTGTGAAAATTTAGCAGAAGTTTTAGTTTCTTACATTCAACAATTGCATTGATAGAAGTTCATATTCTTTCCATCTTTATAATAGCCATCTGTATATTAAAGTTTATTTGTATTTGGGTCACTAGGTTATATTTATTTGTAACTTCAAGCATAACTTTTATTGTTCCAGTGTTTTACTTGTGACAGGCAATTTTTTTATTTCTTGCAGGGTGGTTTACAGGAAGTTGCCGAACAGTTAGAGTTGGAACGAATAGGACCACAGCACCAAGCAGGATCTGACTCATTACTCACAGGAATGGCCTTTTTCAAAATGAGAGAAGTATGAAGACATCAGTGCCTTTTTTACACTTGGTGGTTAGGTTGAGAACATTAAAAAAGTCTTATGAAAAAGGTTTTGGACAATAAGTACTTTTAAAGGGAAGGTATGATTCGAGCTACTATAGAAGTCACATTTGTCACATTTGGATAAATTATTTTTAAAAATCAGTCATACTGGAATTTAGTTCAGAAAGAATTTTAAAATAGTTTTTTTTATAGACTAAGATGTATGACGTTACCTTTGAAGTGATACAGTCCAGTCACATTATTTACATGATAGAAGTAAGGTGAGAATGATAAAAGTGAGGTGAGACGTTTACCTCAGCTCAAATACATTGCTACTTAGCACTCCCAGGTTTTCTTCCTGTAGTTACAATCAGTGCTACTCTGCCAAGTCAAGGGGTCTTTGGCATAATTAGTCATTAAACTCTTGGGATAAAACAATACTTTTGTTCATACTTTCTTTAGTACTTTGAGGATTGTACTGGGGCTGAGAAATCTACTTCCTCCAGTGATCATTTTCAGACTTATAGCATCATTTTTGGGCCATATAGTGCAGACCAACAAGAAGCATCCATGTCTATCCTGTCATCTACTAGGGCCAGAGCATTTTAGACCTGTCAGCTAGATATTTCTCATCCTAACTTATAGAGTAGGAATTTCTTTCTTTCTTTTTTTTTCTGATATATTGAGTCTCACAAAAAGATTTTTTTTTAATTTTTTTTTTATTAGTGAAAAACCATGAGGTACAGTTATAGGCTTACAAATTTTGTGCTTGGGTTTCAGTTATACAATGATCAAGTGCCCATCCCTCCACCAGTGCCCGTCATCCATCCCCATGGGTCCCAGCATCCCCCCCCTCCACCCTCATCCGCCCCCCCGTCCCATCCTGCCTCTGTGGCAGGGTATTCCCCCTTGTTCTCTCTCTCTTCTTTTGGGTACTGTGTTTTGCAAGAGAGGCTTTGAGTGTCAATCATGTTTGGTCTATCGACTACTTTTAGCATGCTTCTCCCACCCTGGGAGGACCCTCACAACACCCTTCATTTGGTACTCTCTTCTCTATCTGAGCTTCCTTTTCACCTAGAGCCTGTGGCTGGCCTTCCATTCATGGAGCAAAATTCCTGGTACTAATCTCAGCCATTCCTGGGTGTTATTCTCCCTTTTTGTTGCTTTATGTTCCCCAGATGAATGCAATCTTTCTGTGTCTATCCCGCTCTTTCTGACTCATTTCGCTTAACATGATACTTTCCATGTAGTACCACTTGTATGTAAATTTCATAACTTCATCTTTTCTAACAGCTACATAGTACTCCATTGTGTAAATGTACCAAAGTTTCTTTAACCAGTCATCTGTTCTTGGGCACTCAGGTTTTTTCCAGATTCTGGCTATTGTAAAGAGTGCTGCAATGAACAAACAATTGCAGATGTCACTTCGACTATACCTTTTTGCCTCTCTGGGATATATTCCCAGGAGTGCTATAGCTGGGTCAAATGGCAGATCAAATTCTAATTTTTTAGAGTCGTCCATACTGTTTTCCAAAAGGGTTGGACCAGCCGGCATTCCCACCAGCAGTGAAGGAGGGTCCCTTTCTCGCCACATCCGCGCCAGCACCGGTTGCTTTTGTTCTTGTGGATGTGGGCCAGTCTCTGTGGTGTGAAATGATATCTCATTGTGGTTTTGATCTGCATCTCTCTGATGATTAGTGATGTAGAGCATTTTCTCATGTGCCTTTTTGCCATTCGAATTTCTTCTTTGCGAAAGTTTCTGTTCATTTCCTCACCCCATTTTTTGATGGGGTTGGGTGATTTCTTCTTGTGGAGTTTAACCAGTACCTTGTATATCCTTGATATCAACCCCTTGTCGGATGTGTACTTGGTGAATATCCTTTCCCATTCTGTAGGCTGTCTTTGTATTTTGGTCAATGTTTCTTTTGAGGTGCAGAAGCTTCTTAGTTTAAGATAGTCCCATTTGTCTATCTCTGTTTTCACTAGTGGAGTGGTAGTCAAGTCAGATCAAATTGGGCTGACCCCTGTTGAAGTCAAGTCAGATCAAATTGGGCTGACCCCTGTTGAGGCATAGCGTAGAGCTCAAATCCTCAAGTGTAAAAACGTTAGTTACTAAGCAGTGAAATTTAGTAGCCCCAAGTCTACTCCTGTTCTCATGTCATTAACTGATGTGTTCAGATATGCTTCACTAAAGTCCGTTACACAGAAACAGACCAAAACAGACATAAAAATTTTACTTCTGTAAAATCTGTACTACGGCATTCTTTTGAGTATGTCTTCTTTGTACACTAAAGAATTGATAGCTCTTGGAAATTTCAAACTTTATAGAAATGTATTGAGAATAGATAGAATAATGTTTTGCCATGTGGCACAGATTCAGAAGTGATTTGGATTGTTCATAAGTAAATATTTTGTACTTTAAAATTATATTTTGGATTGTCAGGTCTACGTTCAAAAAATATTTTTTAATGTATTAATTTTTTTGGCCACACCCAGTGGTGCTCAAGGCCTACTCCTGGCTCTTCGCTCATTGATCACTCCTGAAAGGGCTCAGAGGACTATATGGGGTGCAGGGGATTAAGTCCGGGTCAGCTGTGTGCAAGGCAAATGCCCTGCCCATTTTGCTCTAGCCCTGTTCTACATTTTAAAATATGACTTAGTGTTTTGATTACTAGTGATAGTGGATTCTCTTCTGCTGCTGACTCATTTTTTCTTGGCTTTTCCAAAGATAGCCTAGTATGAATAATCAGATTTTAGTCTAGAACATGCAAAATGTTCTAGAACATGATAGGATTTTACTGCTTTTGCCAGTTCAGCTTGCACGTAGATGCAAGGTTTCAGGCTTTTCCCTTCACCCCAAGGACCTCCTCCCTGGTCATCAACTGTTTCCATTTGTTTTTACTACTGAATATTGTTAGTGGAGTAAAAATGTCTGCTATTTTTCTAGGATTACAAATTTTCATACAAGTAATGTAAGTTTTAGCAAGGAAAGACATGTTTATACGTTGTTGGGAATGTGTTTCTTTGGTTTCTTTTGGCTTAATTCTTGAGAAATACCGTCATTGAATTTGAACGTGTGGCCTCAAAAAAGCACCAGAGAAAGAGTTTTCATTGTTGTTAATGAAGGAAGTACTTGCATAGGAGGTAAATGTAATTGAAATATAAATTACAAGTGGTATCTTTTGGTTAAAATTATCTTTTTCCCCCAAATTCCTTTTTAGATGTTCTTTGAAGATCATATTGATGATGCCAAATATTGTGGTCATTTGTATGGCCTTGGTTCTGGTTCATCCTATGTACAGAATGGCACAGGGAATGCATATGAAGAGGAAGCCAACAAGCAGTCATGACATGAAATAGTCCTTTTATTTTTATTTTATTTGAGCTACACACATGCTTGTATATAGGTTTTATCTCTGGTTGAATCCCTTGAACAATAGATAATACTTTTTTTCCCTCTCATAGCCCATTTTATTTTCCGCCTCTCAGAGTATGACCATTCCTATCTCAGATCTTAATAAATAGAAAAGTATTCAGGTTAAATTTGGCCTTAATATACTTATTAGCAGGTGTTTGAATGGGAAAATACGTCATACTGAATATTTTGATAAACTTTATCTACCTGAACTTGGTTATTTCCCCCTTTCCTAAATTAACTAGCACTGATTGTAATTTATTCCCCTATTTCATGTCTCCCTTCCATTCTACAGGAGTTTTAGCTATTTGAGATTGTGGACCATCAATTTTGCACTTTAGAGAGTGATTCTTACTCAAATCCTCTGTTTTATTAGAAATTTTGGGCTCTCTTGCTCCTACCTGGAAAAATGACCATCTGCCAACTGAATACAGTATTGTTTTTGACCCATGGGATATATAACACATGCATTGTGCAGACGGTTAATTCAGCAAGACTACAAAAAATGGACAAAAAACTACTGAGGAACTTAGTAACTGCTGTTTTCTGTGTGTAGTGTTTAATCTTCCAAACACATCTAGTGTCTGTCAGTTTCTAAATGGCATGTGCAGGCTGCTCTGTGACTGAACAGTTTTTTAAACCAGCTTTACACCCTTCAGGAAAAATCCCTTGTGATTGGATGTTGAATATTTGCCAGGAAACTGGTAGTCAGATGTCGAAGCTGCAGTCATAATAGCACACTTCCCTTGATCAACTTTTGGTTCCATCACTGTTTACCCTTATTTTAAAATTATTTTTAATTTTATAGCCATACTTATGATGCTCTTGATTTGTTGATTCCACAAATCAATTTCATTAAAGTCCAAAGAGAATAAGTATCTAGGCATATTTTGTACCAAATTAGAAGACAAAAAGTTGTGCTTTCACAGTAGCAGAAGATTATAAAGTAATGGAGAGATTTGGTGCAAAACAACAAAATACAAAAAAATACATAGCTATATAAAATGGCCTGAGGAGTGTAATGCTTGTTTATATTTTGTGTATATCTTTGCAATCTATTTTATATATATTGACAAAAGAGACTGTGAAATATTTAGCCATGCAGAATATGTGACCAGACCAGAGCATGTGTAGGAAGACTTCCTGGTAATCGTTAACTCTACCCTGAAATGATGGACTGCAACTTAAGATGTGTTTTATCTACACTTCAATCAGTAATATTAGCAAATCTCTAAATGTTAGCCACATGGTTTGTTTCTCTTGTACATTATTCATGATAGTACAATGCTGTAACTGGTGGTCCTTTTTAAACAAAACATTATTTGCAAAACAGAGGGTATTATTTGTTTTTAAAGCTTTTGTAAATAAAGGCTTCAGAAATGTTTTCATATATATGTTGATGACTGGTAATTTTTTTTTTTAGAAATATTTATTTGGGGTATTTTTGTTTTACTTGATTTTAATTTGGGTCACCGAATAGAACACCGTAACTTCTGTTTAACCTTTTCATTGAAAAATCAGAGCCCTCTGTATTTCAACAGTGTTGGCTTATTATTTTCTAATACCTCAACTAGATTTTAAGAATTTCTACTTCTACTTTTCAGGAATGCATTTATTCTGAGAGATTTACAAAGTAAATGTATTTACATACTGTGACTTCTCTTTAAAACTAACACATAACTGGTTTCATTTTGACCTTCATGTCCTTAAAGGAATTATGAGTATTGCCTTTTGAATAACTTCAGTTACTAAATTTTATAACTTGTATCAATTTTGGTTTCTGACTTTAAAAAGTAGAAATATTTTATGATGTCTGTAAGATGAACATTATTACCTTAACTAAATCCAGCTTTGGGGTGTAAGATACTAGGCTAATTTTTCATGTTCCTGAGCCAATTTGAACTCAAACTATGTTCTGTTAAATCTTCTATAGCAGAGGTCAGTAAACTATGGCCTTTAGGTTCAAACCTGTTTGCTGCCTCTTTTTATGGTTAGTGAGATGAGGTTGGTTGGTATTTACAGTTTTAAAATGATTGGGGGTGTAGGTGGGGGAAGACGAAAAATAATTATTTCCTGGTGTGACCATTATATGAAATTCACATTTCAGTGTCCATAAATAAAGTTTGATTGGAATGCAGCCACACTCATCATTTATGTACTGTCTGTGACTACTTGTGTACTACAGTGGGAAAATTGAGTAGCTGTTACAGAACCTGCCTGAGTTAATCTCGTTTTACTTTTCTACTTGGTATACTACGTAAGTAGTGCTGTGGACATGACCTCGTAGCATTTGAAGTGCCAGGTTTTTCTCAGTGTTTTTTAGTTACCAGTACATATCCATTATGCCCACACAAGAAACATGCACGATTGTGTTGTTAAGGCACAGTGGAATGTAGGTCATATTCTCAAAGTTTATGTAAATGAAAGTTTTTGTGCAATGACACTATAACATAAAAATACATATACTGTCTGTCCTTGGTAACATAATCATACCAAACATAGTCACAATCTTGAAAGATGAAAATGAGCCTGCAGAGTAGATTGTTTGCTAAGCAAAGAAAAATATTGGGGTGTGTGTGTGTGTGTGTCTTACTGCAGTAGCAGTGTGCCCAGCTGTTAATCATGGAGTAACTGAAGAATTTCTGTTAATAGTTTGTTAAACAACAGGTGTGATTTTTTTAAGTTGAGAAAGTACAGTCCAACCTCTAATGGAGTTCGTGAGGATGTGATAAATACCAATCAATGGTACTGAAAATATCAGGTAGATCAGGTTTAAAAACTTGTGAAGATGTAGTGTGCAGGCACCCATTTCACCTGGATGATATACACTTCTCCCTCAACCTTTTCACTGTTGACTCTTACTGCCACTACAAAAACCAAGTAGAAGGAGAAAAAAGTATTTTCTACACACTTTTCTCTTGATTCCCTGTAGCCACTTGAGGATTATCCAGTCTCTACTTCCCTAAACATATCCTAGAAGGAATTTCAGAACATGTATGCCTGTAAGATAATTTTTTTAAAACTAACACAAATACTTGAATAGAGCAAGATGCTTTGAATAGTGGCGTTAGGGGCTATATATATTTTTTTGATACTTTGGTATTTTATTTTAATGAATCACCGTGAGATACAGGTACGGACTTAAAAATTTCGTGATTACTTTTGAGTACTCATACCTCTACCAGTGCCCTTTCTCCACCACCAATGTTCCCAGTGTCCCACCATCCCACCCTTTCCCTCCCCCGCCTCTGTGGCAGACACATTTCCTCTTTCTCTCCTTTTGGGTGTTATGGTTTGCAATTAGGCACTAAGCAGCCATGTTTGGTGGGGGACTATTCAGGCAGAAAAAAGACAGGAAATTTAAAATGTCATTAGCTTTAATACAATTAAAAAAAACTGCAGTTTTCTGTGATAAGTCATTTAATTCAGTATCACAATAATTCAATTTTATAGTTTTCTTAAGCAGAGTATTGTTTTTCCCCCTCAAATGTGATTAAGCACCTTTATTCTTCAAACAAGAACTATTAAGTACTAATGAAATCAGATCAGCATTGAGCTCTTAACACTGTTAAGCTTTCCCTAAGAGATGCAACATAAATTGTACTTTGTTTCCATAAATCCTAAGAGTGCTTTCTGAGCAGTGAGAAACTCCTATATAAAGCATAGCTTCAAATCACATACCAAAAAGGCTCCCTTTGGTTTAATTGGTACTCAGGAAGAAGCCAACTTAAAAGGTAATCTTAACATCCCCAAACTCCAAATAATACAGAAATCAATAAATATTTGCTCTGACAACAACATCAAAGCGCTTTGGACACTGCCACAGGTTTTATTTTAACACTTCGGCAGTGAGATAGGGCTGCAAGTCATTTCAAGTAGTCTACTGACAATCCCCAGGCAGTCAAATTTGAACATTTTATTGTTGTCAGAGCAACAGGGCTGGAACGATAGCACAGCGGGTAGGGCGTTCGCCTTACAAGCGGCCAACATGGTCGACCCGAGTTTGATTCCTCCGCCCCTCTCGGAGAGCCCGGCAAGCTACCGAGAGTATTCGATATGCCAGACACAGTAACAACAAAGTCTCCAATGGAGACGTTACTGGGCCCGCTCGAGCAAATCGACGATCAACGGGAGGGCCTTTACCTTTTACCTTTTATTGTTGTCAGAGCAAATAAGTGTATTAGAGAAGGGGCTTCTAGTTACCTAGATTGTGTTCTAGTAGAGCATCATTCACAATCTCTTACAAGGATGATAAAAGCATTCTACTTAAGCATAGCACAGCGGGTAGGGCGTCTGCCTTGCACGCAGCCAACATGGCCGACCCGAGTTCGATTCCTCCGCCCCTCTTGGAGAGCCCGGCAAGCTACTGAGAGTATTCGATATGCCAGACACAGTAACAACAAAGTCTCCAATGGAGACGTTACTGGGCCCGCTCGAGCAAATCGACGATCAACGGGAGGGCCTTTACCTTTACCTTTACACTGAACACTGCTGAAAGTATTTCAGTCATAGGTTTTGATCAGTGGGAATTCCTTTGAGACAGCCTATTTGGGTGCATTACATCAATGATGTTCACTTGATGCACATCAGGTCACTATTATAACAAACATCATGGCAGGGACAAAAGAGTGTATGGTTAGGGGCATGAAAAATTTCCCGTTTTCTGTAACAAAATAAGATTCTTACCAATAAACTCTTAGAGGAAGTCTAATGGGAAAACCAAAAGCTGAAGTGTAAAGTTGTCTCTACTCTTGGCATGTATTTAATGATTTCACTAAGTGAGAAGTAGCCAAAATTGATAAAAATTAGAATCTGCATTTTTACCAACAAGGTTAAAAAATTCTAAGTAACTATAAAATAATAAATACTTAACGTTATCACACTGTCTAGTTCCACTTCCCTAAAGAGGAAAGTAAGTACAAGCTGGGTGAATACAGGAAAAGGAGATAAAACTTCTGAGACACTTGGAATTTAAGCAGTTTGTTCTTCAGTGTTTTTCAGAAGGATCTTTCCTAATGATGCTGTTACTTGTGACATTTCACTGCTGAAATGTGGCACTTTGGGGCTGATGAGCGCTCAGAGAGCTGAGATTATTTACATTAGTGGGAGATAAGAATTTATTGACTGATGGTGGGCTGGAGGATACCTTTATCACAGTTTACAATGTAAGAGGATTTGTATAAACACTGGTTTACTTGAAATAATTCATATCATATAATAATGCTATTCAAATAGCACTTGAACTATCATTTTACAGGTAAGTATTTGATATTGGAAGCATATAGCAGGTATACAGCATAATCAGAATCAATCTGCAAGTTTACATGTACTTCAGCATAGGGAAATTGCTAGTTTATCATATATTGGAGGGGCTGGAGTGATAGTACAGCAGGTAGGGCGTTTGTGTTGCATGCAGCTAACCAGGATTCAATCCCTGGGGTCCCATATGGTCCCCCGAGCACTGCCAGGAGTTATTCCTGAGTGCAGAGCCAGGAGTAACCCCTGTGCATCGCCACATGTGATCTAAAAGCCCCCCACCCAAAACATATATATAAATATGTATTTATATATATAAATAACAGGTTGTCTTCACAGCTTGTTTTCTTGAAGATAAATCACATGATTACAAGCTTATTTTTATTAGCATATGTGGTTAATGAATTTAATTTCCCTAGGGAAAATAGTTTTTGTCAAACGTCATATTTCCAATAGTTGTTAATTACAGAGTACTTTTTTTACTCTGCCTTTTTCTAATTGAACTCTGAATTTTTCACTGGTAATTACCTCATCCTTTCATTCCCCACTTACCAAGAGATTTATTATATGACTAGGTTATAAACATGAATTTAACTGTGTAGAATACTAGAAAAAAGCATATCTTTAAAGCAGTTTAGATTGTCAGTGCAAAGGCAATTTCATAGACAGCTAATGAAGATGAGTAACCAAGTTTTATGGTATAACAGAATTAACTGATAAACACTTGCTTGAAAGTATCATTGTATTTAGATGCAATTTCTCTTTTATTTAGCTCTGAAAAAAAACACCCTCTTTCACTGTATCAATAATAGTTAACTAATACAGATGAAACATTTGTAAAAATGTTAAATAAAAATCTTCTTAAATATTAATACCTGTGGTAGAATCTTCAAAAACAGGAAAAATAAAAAAATAAGATTTTTAAAGGTACATTTTATAAACATGTACAAAATCTAATGCTTTTTTTCACTCAGGTAGTTTATACTATATAATGTCTAAAAATTAACTCCCTAGAACTAAAAACTAAACAAGAAACTATATAATTCTATAAAAACAAAAAAGGAGCAAATACAATTTAATGGAAAAATTTAGTTTTGACAATGTTTTTAAAGTTGGATAATGTGTACTCACTATGT